GGACAACGCTACGTATCGGTGTATAGGGTGGTGCAAAGTCACTCGGGAGGTTACGTTTACTTCTTGTGTAACACTTTGTTCTTCTGTTTCACTTCCGACACAGATTTTTTTATGCTATATGGACTTCGATAATACTGAAACTTGACGGATATCTGCTGTGTCTATAACCGACAGTACCAGCCTTAGGGGTGGAAGGTACTATGGACACCGCACTCCTACTCGCGTTTTCATATATTTTAAAATTTAAGTACTTTTCGTGTAGTACAGTACTCGTTCGTAACATCCAAAAGTGTTCAAAATATATTAATTGAAAATAGTATTGATAATCACAAGAGTATAATTAAAAATTTGAATACTCTTAAAAGTTGTAACAATTTATACGTACATTAATACGTAACAAATTGGCCTGAAAGAAAATAGTGACTCGTGTACCACCCTGTATATACGTACTCGTAATTACACTCCTGTGTTTTATACGGTTTTGTTTCTTCGTCGCATCGGAACTTCACTACCGCAACCATCGCCATGTTCTTTTTTTTCTAACCTCATAACCTACATGCACGATGCATCGTGACTTTGTACTTGAGTTATTCGATTAGATTAAACTTGTTCTGCTGGTCACTGATAACCCCACAATACCTTGTGTACCTTTAATTATCTTACGCGTTGTATCGCAACGTTACGATTCCTCTCGTTATATTACCATCCATCGTATTGCAACGCGTTGTTGATACCGCGTGTTATATCGCCGCGTAGTCATCGTAACGCGTTGTTATCGCCGCACGTTGCTATGGTCACGTTTTGTTATCGCCACACGTTGTTATCGCCATGCGTTGCTATAGACACGTGTTGTATAGCATCGCGTTGCACCTCCATACGTCACACCTCACCAAATTGATATCCTAAATTTGCTATAAGATAATTACAGTGTCCATCTATCGAAACCACTCACATATTCCACAGTCCATCAAATTTACATAAATTCGTAGTACGATTATATCTTGCTACGCGTGTCGATTTCTACCCTAACAATGCACGTGTTAATGACCTTAATGAACCCTTATGATAAAGATTCGAAAACGTCGTACTGTGTGTATCGGCAGCGTTGACCGAGCTAGCCAAGCAAAAGTTGGCAAAACGTGGCGAGAGGTTGAAAGGTTTTTTCTTGGTTAGTGGAAACGAGGCCAAAGCCTCGAATCTGTTATTCCGGATTCGACATCGGAGCACACCTGCGAGCTCGTGAAACCTGGCAAAGCGCAGACCTTCGAAGATTCTCGCCTCGTATTATTGCTCAATTTTCTCGACCGCGAGAACATTTGGCAGTAACCATACTCTTACACCCATTCAAGCCACCCACGCTCTAATACCGCCTCGATTCACCGTAACGTCGTGGCACGCGATTCAAAAACTTTCTGAAACAATGTAATCGTGAGCTGCATCGTTAAATTCATAACTCTCTTATAATTGCGGTGCTAAATTTATAACTCCGTTATAATTCCATTGTTAAATTTATAACCCTGTTATTGTAATACATATTTATAACTGAGTTACAACATTCGGAACTTATTTATAATTTCGTTGTAATATTTAATCCCGCAATTTGCGAAATAATCTATTATGCGTGCCACCTCATGAATACACTTCAAATACACGAAGTTCCTAACTTTGTCGATTAATCATCCGCTTCGATCGGAGTTCGGTAATGACGATTTAATTACCGCAATAATCGCGCACATTAGATTCTGGGAGTGAATGAAAATTTGCAGGTAACATAATTGACAAAGAAGGAAGAACGTAGATACGCAAATATCAGTTTTTCGGCGGCGATTCATCAGAGCCACCGAATCGAATTCATTATCGAAAGAAGGCTGATGGTGGTGGTCGCTGTAATCACGCCAGAATTATTCCGCGTTTCATTATCGGGCTCCGTCCTGTTCCGAAACATTCGAACATCGGCCATTATCTCTACGCTCGATTAATTTCTAACCGATACATCAATCGAGCTCGTCGACTGTAGCGGCCGAATTTACCCTCCCCGTTCACTTTTCCAACGTTGGGAAATCCGCAAAGCGGCACAATAGGGTGAATCCGTCGCAACGCGACCAGATATTCCATTGCCGACTCGGCAATTTCCATTCGAAGGCCCCCCAGGAAGGGCATTGTTGCTGGAATATAAACCAGCAACGGTCTGCAAGCAACGTTTGCTACGTGGAGAACGTTCAAATCCTCTGGAAGAGTCGTCCGTGGAACGAGTATCGAGAATCGATGCAACGAGAAGGGAAAATAGTGTCTTAATGCATCGCCGTTCCAGAAACATTTAAACATGGAGATCTTCTATTTTCTCTGCAATCTTTGCGCAAACGATGTGAACTTAAATCGGATTAATAATAACCTTTGAACCTCCCTTAACATTATCCAATTCAATGAAATTGATCAAAGAGCGTAGTGTTAATTGAAATGTCGTGCAATATGATATTTCATAAATGCGTAGAACATACAGAGGATATAGTAATAACGTAAATCCTCATAACAGACCGTAAGGCGGCTGCAAAAGTGTCTGAAACTTGCCGGGAACAGTGTTGTAGCGTGGCAACCCTCGCAGATATTTTCCTCCCACGATCATCCTACAGAGAATATTATATTTTCCTCGTGCCCTATCCTCCACGTTCATCGCATCCCCTATAATGCTAATACCATCGTCGAGCGGTATTGTAACACCGCTATTTTACTATTCCGTGAAGCAGAGCACCGACTCGAAGCGTGTTACGAATTGTCTGACAAGAACTTCTGAACATGTTCTTGTGCGCGCTATCGCTGTGTACATGCACGCTTAAAGTATACCTTGTAAATTAGGTTAGTTTTTCGAAGTTCCCGAAAATTTATGTCGGTGTAGCATATTTTGGACGTAACATAATTCAGCGTGAACAGATACCTAACTATTATCTCTCAAAATATAGATGTTTTTGGTTCATTCATATTTTAAAAGATAATCAGCGTTAAATTAGGTCTGGTTATATCATAGATTTTCATACACACTCGCTTCGATATTGATTGTGCACATTCCATTGGTGACATCGAGCCGATTGAAATTGAATTTTAAATCGTAGGATATAAAAATGAAAATGAATTATTAAATATTTTAATGAAATCGATAATACCGGATCGTTGATTGAACCCGTATCATAAAACATTCTCGTACAGTTTTTCGAATATATTATTATTTATCGGGAATTAATCTCGAGCGAACTTGTTGTACCTGACCGATAAGTCTGCGAGGGCCAAATTGTCGGAGGCTCGATCAACATAAAAAGATACAATCGACGCAGAAAACCGTTCAATACACCTTCCACGCGATCGATCGTGAATGTTCACAACGAGAGATACATTGTTGACTCGTCCGCGTGAACGGTCGATCAGTTTTGCGTTGGGACGCAACGAACCACGTTGAAAAGCGTTGCATTCCGTTCGGATTTTGCTGAAAACCGCCTAGACACTTTTGTCAGCAAACAAGGCTGCGCGAGATCGCGTTGCATCCCCATATATCCTGCGTATCCTGTCTTGCCGTATCTGAAACATTATATGGCTGTTCGAGGCGCACGTGCGCCAAGTTACACGCTCGGAATTCAAAGGCGACGAATCGATCAACCCGCCGAGTGGAAAGAGACATTACGTGGAAGAGAATGAAAATGGTGGAACAGATATATATACATATATATAGGTAGAAAGCGAGAAAACGAGGCCAGAAGAAGATCGACGATTGTTTGTCACAAGGAGCAAGTCCAGAGGCTACCTTCTCCTGACTCTCCATTAATCGACGTACGAGCGACTGATCGTTTACTTGTATAGCACACCGTTTGTATAGAACTCCGTTGTCGAATTCCGACGGTGTTTTAACTTCTCTACGTTTTCCCGAAGTTTTAAGGACTACGAGGAATGCTCGAAATTCGCTCAGATTCGAACTTGGAAAACCTAGCTGTACGGGTCGACGCGCGATGAATAATTGACGAATAGGTTTTAAACTGAGATAATTAATATTCTGGCTCTGCGAGAATGGATTTCTTTAGTGGACACTAAAAAAAAAGTGACACTATAATTCTTCGCCTTTAATCCTCAATCCGTAAAGTACCTAAATCCTGTCTGAAATACCTACGAAGTTAACGACTGTTCGTAACTATGATCCGAAAGTTGAGGAGTTATCCCGAAACCGATACGGTGGATGATGATCAGAACCGCAACAATATTCCAGTCAAATACAAAGGACGGAGTTACTCGAATCGCGAATACGATCCAAGTTACACGATCGCTAGTCGGTGTAGTTGCCGCTGAGCAAACAACGGTTGGATTAGCCAGCGTTTACGCGACGAATCGATACGCCTCGCGGAAGTTTGCGTGCGCCCTTAGCGTTGAAACGGTCCTAGTGTGCGTGGCGATTCTAACAGGTCTCGAAAATCCGCTCGCGTACCATGTATTACACGCTCCGGGACGTGTTATCCAGCTTAGTGCTGCGAACAGAATAGGATTCAAGCTGAATGCAATATGCATGCGGTCATCGGGTCGAAAACGATTGATATTCTACTCCTTTCTTGCATCGATGCTTCTCATAAACAGGTTAGGGAGCTGATACTACGTTATTTCGGTCGACGTAGAAGGCGCATCATGATAGACCGTTTTGTACTCTTTAAACGAGAAAAGATCTCTTCGTATATCTGAAGAATTCTGATGATATTGGCAAGGGTAGGAGATGTAGTTACTGGATTAACACAACTAGACGTGACATTTATACTAGCAGATCTTGCTTATTTTTTATCGAAAAAGGATTACACGATCAAATCAGACAAACAATCGATGAACCAGCATGAACGTATCAATCGCGAATACCGAATACTATTCGATGTTACCCCGAACAACTCGCGAATTGCATGTCGAGCTTCTGCATCGTAGATCCAACGCTCGGAACGATAGATCGATCACTGACAACAAGGTCTCTGGTTTATCCACAGGATCTAACGTACGCGGAGGGCGGCCACAATTGGCGGAGCATAATCTTCTCGCTGCTGGTCATCGGTTTTGTTATCGCCGGGATCGTTACGGCCATTTACCTCCTCGGGTGAGTATCTACCCTCTTCGATCCTCTTTCGTTGCTTGTTTTAGCGGTCTTCGTCCCCCGAGGGTAAAATGGAACAATTCTATCAGCGAGATTCATCTTCGTCTTTTATACCTCTTTGCTTGGATTTTGCAATCAGTTTCTATCTATTCTCGAGTTCGATCCGATTTAGTTTCTTAATTAGTCGACAGCAGTCCTTCGTTATAGGGCATCGATGACATCGACAGCAGTCGCTGTACCGAAAGCGGTTCTTCAGCCAGTTACGACGGTGCTGTTTGAAAAACCAGGCACGATCTCTGATCAGACTTCCGAAACCCGTTGAAACACCCAGCTTACAACGTCTCGGAATCTGACTTTCCCTTTTTACTTCCGACTTCACTTTTTTTCCACGAGAAATCCTCCAAAGCTTCCCTCAGGAAAATCCTCGTTTTATCGCGTTTAAAACCACCTCGGAATCGATAACCTCCGCTCGCTTTCACGACCTTCGCTGTCGTAAATTCCACGCGGCAAGATTCCTTGCCACAGTAGGAGATGGCGAATTATAAAATACAATAAATATTTCAGGTACGTCGACGAGCTGTTGTACTGGAGCGGCAGACGCCTCACGTTAGACGAGTGCCTTCGCGATGATCTGACGCCTCATAGGCTAACACCAACCTGGATCTCTCATGACAAGTTTATCTACCAGGCTGACGACGGATCTCTCACGCTCCTGGACACTAGCAACAATTCCGTGTCTCTTCTGGTCTCCAATCACACGCTCGTACGTGTCAGGAAATATTACGTGCGCCTACGGAAAAACCAGACGACAGGACATTACCTATTCATGAATAATTCATTTAGAATGTGACATGCGTCACGTTCTCGATAAGATCCAATTGTTGAAAAAAGTCTCTAACACTACTAATAGCACAAAGCTTGAAATCTACTAAAATTCACACATTGTAAACGCTCAAAACTGTAACGAAACCTTGAAATTCGACGGGGCTATAGTTAACGGGATCATAAAACTCGCAGCCGGGAAATAGAAAATACATCGATCTGTAAATCTTTGTCGGGCTTTATTTTCAGAGGCAGCTGAATGTTCAAGGCTACCAGTGCAGCGCCGATCTGCGTTACGTGTTGTTCAAGCACAATGTCAAGCCGGTGAGTAATGCAAGGGTGAAAACAATTTCTGTCGGCCTTCACCGACTCGTTAAACCACTTATCGTTGATTGCATTAAGATGTGTGCGATAGGAATTCATTAGACAAGTTATCGCGAATTAACGCTCTCGTTTACTTATGTAATTGTCCCTTTCGACTGTTTAAATACTTCGGACGATTTCCGTGAATAAATCAATTGCATTGTTTGTCGCTTCTGTTTAAACTGCTTCCCGTTTCGTGGACAAATTCAAACTTTCGGCATTGAATACATATGAATGACTTATGCAACCGTGTTAACTGTTTCAGGTATTCAGAAACACCTTCACCGCTTACTACACTGTCTACGACGTTACGAACGAGTAAGTAAATTTGTAAATGCATTTCCATTCGTTGTACCGTCTCCCTCGTTACGTGTCAAGTTATGACACAGCAAGTCACCACGTGGCAAAACTTGCAGCCACCACACACCTCTTCGTCTGCACGCGTCGCGAAGGATGCAGCAAACGCGTCTGCAACACGCCGCCTGGTTGGGTAACACCTCGGGTCTCCTGATGATCTCCGAGAACGACATCTACGTGAGGATGGCGCCATCCGCAGCGGAGGACGCTCGGCTAACGGACACGGGTGTTCCTGGCGTGATTTACAACGGTGTCCCCGACTGGTTGTACCAGGAGGAAGTGTTGCCTCGGCCAGAAGCAGCCTGGCCCAGCCCCGATGGCACTCATCTTCTTTACGCTACCTTCAACGATACCAAAGTCACTGCCCTGGAGTTTCCCTGGTTCAGCACGCAGCCTGGTCAAGATGGCTCCAGTTCCAGTCCTCTGTCCGTCACCAGGAGAGGTACCTTCCCGCCTTCCAGATCGGTCAGGTATCCGACTCCTGGTTCGCCCAACCCGGAGGTTGACCTGTGGATGCTGGAGCTCGCTAACGTGACCAATTTCGGGAACGGAAACAGCACAGCGAATTCGACGACCATATCCAAGATCAAACTCAAACCACCGCCAGCGTTGGACGGACAGTAAGTGGTTTTGGGGTATATTGGTCGATGAAGTTTAGAAAGGTGTTACCGGTTAGTTAGTCCAGGCGAAGGGTGGCTAACCAATTGTCCACACGATTCCTCTTGTCGGTCAGTCTATCACCAAAGTGGTTAGCCACCCTTGGCACAGGTTGTTCGAGGTGCAAACGTTAGGATGTCTCTTTATCGTCCTGTAGGGAGTATTATCTAATATCCGCTGGTTGGGTGGGCGAGGACTCCAGTCACGTGGCTGTCGTATGGATGACGAGGTCGCAGAATCTGTCGTTGGTATCGGCGTGTCGTGCACCCACGTGGGAGTGCGAGGAGACCCACTCGGAACGTGCACCCGAAGGACAATGGCTCGACGCGCAGCCTCATCCTCTGTTCGCGCCTGACGGTGACAGCTTCTTACTGTTAGCTACCGTTCAGGAAGGCGACAAAGAACACTTCACTCACATTAAACATGTGACGTTGACCCAGCAGAGGATAGCTGTTCTTTCTCACGGTCGATACGAGGTGAGCAACCGAATCGATCCTGTCGTGACTAAATTCACCTTACGTCTACCTCGATCGGCAGGTCAGCGAAATCTTAGCGTGGGACACCAAGGCCCACCTGGTGTACTACTTGGGTACCAGAGAAAGAAGGCCAGGACAGAGACACTTGTACGTGGTTCGCGATCCCACTGCCGACGATCCTCGACGTCTAGAACCGCTCTGTGTCACCTGCGATCTTGGCGAGGTCCTCTGGAGCAGTAGGTAAGTAGCTTCAGGTTCAACCATCTTCGTCAACGTTGACTTACCAATATCGTGACAGGTTCTACTACACCAACTGCACGCACTTTGGCGCATCCGTCAGTCCAGCGGTCAGCGAAGAAACTCAGGGTTACTACGTTCTTTACTGCGAAGGTCCAGGTCTCCCGTTGGCCGGTGTGCACATGATGAGCTCCCATAAGATGATCAGGGTGCTGTACGACACGAGAATCCAGCGGGGAGACAAGCTCTCGCAGTTGGCCCTGCCGACTCGAAGAAGTTTCGAGGTACCTAGCCACTCGGAGAGCATTCTTAAATCACCTACTGACTGAAACTAACTGAGAATCTCTTCAGGTACCTTTGCCTCAAGGTTGGAAAGCTCAGGTACAACTTCTGCTGCCACCTTCGTGGCGAGAGGAGCTCAGAGACGCGGCTTTCCCGGTGCTGGTCGAAGTGAACGGTCGTCCAGGTAGCGAAGCGGTGACTGACCGCTTTAAAATCGATTGGGGTACCTACATGTCCAGCCACAACGACGTGGTGTACGTCAGATTGGACGTTCGAGGCGCCAGGGGTCAGGGAAAGAGGGACTTGTTCAGGAGGATCGGAGGCGTCGAGGTTCAGGACCAGCTGACCGTGCTGAGGCACCTGCTGAAGACCCTGAAATATCTGGACGTGACGAGGGTCGGTGTGTGGGGTTGGGGATACGGGGGCTACGTGACCGCCATGGTGCTGGGAAGCCAGGAGAACGTGTTCAAGTGTGGCGTCGCCGTAAATCCCATCGCGGATTGGTTATATTACAGTGAGTCGACGAATCTCTACTTCGGGGATAATTGTCCCTTTCAGGGATAAGAATTTGATTTTCCTGATGCAGATTCCGCGTTCACGGAACGAGTCCTCGGTGCTCCAGCCGAAAACTACAAAGGTTACGTGGAGGCTGACCTGACCCAACGGGCAAGGCTAGTGCCGAGTCACAGTCTCTATCTTCTTCATGGTCTAGCTGACCTCACAGCGCCTTACACGCACGGTGTCGCCTTTGCCAAGGCTCTGTCCGATGCGGGTATCATCTTTAGGTACCAGGTAAGCGATTCTGCGAGTTTGACCCTGAGGAGAACCTGACGATCGTTTGTCTCGAACAGAGCTACGCGGACGAAGACCACGCCTTATCGGGCGTGTTGGAGCACGCTTATCGTTCCATGGAGGACTTCCTCGCCGAGTGCCTCTCCCTGGACGCGTCCTAGTGCCTCAAACCGAACACTCCCTCGTTGTCTCTAGTTCGCCTACTTCTGATACATCCCGGATGGGCCTGGATGCTCGTCGACGAGGCTCGCCGTTCAGGATTAGACTAGTTCATACGCGTTCTCGGGAGCATCCGATCGTTTCGAAGATGGCACCTTACGGAGAAATCTCCACGTCCCGCGGAGACTGAAAGTCGAAGCCGAGGATGCTTTCACTCGCTGACTAGGGTGTGACCGGGAAACGGATAGGATAAAAAACGGTGATGACAGGGATGAGCTAAAGCTAGCGTTTGTATAAGTAATATCGTTGATAACGTTGTATATCGAGCCGCCTGCGTCAGCCAGCGGATTCCTCTTTGCTACGAAGAAACTCGTTGACCGTGCTCTCTGGACGCGCATCCCGAATACCTCCTTAGTAGATCCCGACACACGGAGGCGTAGTGTCTAGCCGAAGCAGCTTCGCGAGCTCCTCTCTTGTCCCCGACCCGGAATTCGTTGGAGTCGCGAGCTTGCAAGCTCTCACCACTTTTTATACAACTCGAGAATCTGACTGGGACGCGTGACGAACGAAATGGAGAACCGTGAGCGACGATCCAACGCATCGAGCTTAGCGCGAGCTTGCAGGCTCCCGACCCGTGTTTTTTATATCGATCCTGCACACTAGCCAGCGCAAGCTGAAGTCGTTCGTAGGCCGTGTTCCGCTTTCCAAGGTATCGAGCTTACCGGAGCTTGCAATCCCTTGCTCTTCTCTCGGAGGTTCGATCATAGTCGAAATATGAATTCCAGGTTCATCGTTTATCTAAAACCTCTCGATTACTGGTTCCTTAGCCCTATTTGATGCACTCAAGAACTTTACTAACCATAAATCGAACAAAATTTTTCAATTGTTTCCCTGTTCGAAAGTCCATGACCGGTTTACAATGTTACGAATCTTGTTCTTACATATCCAGGCACATAAGTTTCGATCAGAACCTATAATTTAAATTTCGACTGGGGAGACCATCTTGAAACGACTCTGCATCGACGTAACTAGGACTTTCGTCCGAGTTGAGCCAAGCCCCCTGATTTAGAATTGTCCACTTTATACAAATACGTTCACGTTATTATACTTGCATTAAATGTTGCATTTAGAACGAAATAATTTCTAGCGAAGAAAGGGACTAGACTCAGTTTGAGCAGCGCCTAGTTACGTCAGTGGCTGAGGTAAAACGTGGATGATCTCGTGACTTAATTTTTCGCAATCGCTACGCTATATCGGTGCCTCCCTGATTTTCGGGCGACAGAATGGCTATGCGATGAGGTTCGTCCAGGAGTACCAACACACTGACCGTTTTAGAAAGAAACGCCTAGTGTTAAGGTTTCGTGTTGTACAGCTTGGCGCCTAGTCTGTGTACCGTAAAAGGGATAAACGGTTTTTCTCACCCTTGCTCCCCGACCCGAATTCACCCCGTTACGATCCCTTCGAATATTTGTATATATCTGTAAGGTTGCAGCCCCGAAAGGACGCGGTCCCTCGACGAGGTTCGCATGTGTTCCCGTTTGTCGTTGATCGTTTGTTGTACTATACATATATCGCTAAGTTGTACTATACACACATACACACACAGTTTCCAGATTAAATAATTGATTAAGTAAGCGGCTCGAGGCTTTAGGATAACGTTCATCACCTTAGAGCTCGTTCGAGAGAACGGACCTCGTCGCGGGCAACGAATACCTTTTCTCGATCAACCGTCGCGTCGGAGACCCTGAAGAAGTTGACGAAACAACTTCCAGCGGAGAATGTTCCGTTTTCCGAGCGGAACCTCGGGGATCGTTCGGACGATGCCGAAGAATCGTTCGAGATCGGTCGAACCGGAGATCCCTCGATCCTTTCCACGAACAAGGAAGAATCGAGGGAGCTCGATTTAGGGCACGATCGATCGCGCGAACGAACGAAGAGTCGCACGTCGCCATAAACGCTGCCTGCCCAGCAGCCCTTAAATGCCGACAATCAAGGCTAGTGCAACTAATCAAACGATAATAAATAGAACGGAGAGGATGAAGATATTACCTAATAATATTAATGAACCTTAGTTGAACGTTCGTTATGGTTCGTCCATGGTGCTCCGCGGTATACGTCTTCATTGTTAGCCGATAACTAGCGAGAGTTCCCTTCGTTTCCTTTATTTCTCAATTTTAAAGTCCAACTTCGAAATTTTCCAATTTTAAAAATAAGATTCTACTCGAGATTAAAATTTACATCGTTGGAATAAATTGTAAGTTGTATAAATTATAATGTCGACATCGAGAACATCCTTTCGCGAAAGAATCCTTCACGTACTTCCATGGAAAAATTTCTGTGGAGCCCGCGGGCACACGGACGACCATAGAATCGTTAGATCGAAGATTACGTGCTTGATGTCGATTGTAGAGAGTACAAAAGGCGAATCACGCGGCCAAAGGATCGTCCAGCAAATTATTTACTCGATCGATCGAACATATTTTTCCCCGTTCCATGAAAAACTCCATTCGAAACAACGTTGTCTCGTCGTTTTTCCACGCAAGTGAGAACCCTGTAATAAATAATCGTGCCTCGGCTCAACGTTCATCAACTTGGCCATGGAACGAGGAAGAAGCTGTTCGTGATTCCTAACCGATAACGATTCTTTAGCCCCGCGATAAGGACAGACACGTTGTTGTTTCACGTTATGCAAATAAAAAGTTGTTCATCCTCGTTGGTGTTATCGGAGACACCATTCTTTCGTAAGAAACGAACGAACGAATGAATGTAACGAGACGAAAGTTGTACGTACGTGTGTGCGCGTGTGCGTCGAGGAAGCGAGAACGTGTGAGTGCGTAAGTGTGCAATCGCAATCAATTATTAACTGTAATAAAAACGGCAGAAAGTGCGGCGAAAAATGAAACTGTAGGCATAGATCTCGAACGGCAGGCACGCAGACAGTAACAACAACAAGAACAACAATAACAGCAACAAAATACAAGCATGCGAATTACGAGAGAATTAATCGTAACGAAAATGAAAAAAAAACATTAAATAAAATAAAGTAAAATAAAAGAAACCTTGGTAGAAGCGCATAAGGGTATCTTATAAGCTTTTGGTAAACGTATTATCGCCGCTAGGCTAAAGAGAATTATAATAAGAAAATAAAAAAGATATATATATATATTATACAATAAAGAGAGAAATAATGCGATACACAGAGAAGAGGGATGAGAAGAGAGACATCGCGCAGAATATTCTGCGAATCACGCGGACATCGAGTTCACGAATCGGGCCCGTGCGAACTAAAAAAAAAGAAAAAAATTAAAAAAAAATATCGCGCGAATAATTGTTGACGAGATTCGTTTTTGTTCACGTTCTGAACGATTCTTGAAACGAGAGAGAAAGAGACGAGCATTTATAATCATCGATCGAGGATAGAAGGATTATTTATTAATAACGATAATGCGTCTATTTGAAAATTCTTTGGATAATCTGTGATATTCAGATTGACGATTATTATCGATTATTTGGCGGTTTCGACACGGTGTTGTTTTTAACGTCAACGGATGCACGCTCGAACATCGAGGTATTATATTTAAGATAAGATATCGTTTAAAGAAAATTGTTCGAGTAATTCGTAATTCGAGACTGAATCCAAGTAGTTCGAGAATCGAAACCGACATGCATTTTTAATATGCTAGTTTTTAATGTATTTCAAATTCGAGAGATCACCCTTTTACAACTATTGTACCTATGATTCTTTTCTTTATAACAATAGAGAATTTGTTGGTAGAAATAAAATTTGTATAGAAAAAAATTGTTTAAATTTCACGAATAGAATCGATGGTAACCTTTTCATTTTAACCCCGTATAATATTGAATTTCAATTTCCACTAGGATCACGCGTGCTAAAAAGAAAAGCAATCCTGAATTTTATACTTAAAAATTGTTATACGAATGTCCGTAGAAACGAACGCAGAATTAAACGAAAATAATTGATTTCACGTCTATGCACGGTCACCGACAAGAACAATCGAAACTTGGACTTAGTTTCGGAGCTAACCAACTCGTCACGATCTATACGCGTATATCAGAATCCTCGAAATAAATTGCATAATCGAGGCAATTTCGGAACGACGTTTGATCGCGATAACCGATCGAACGCAACACGTGAAACGTTGTATCGAAGCTTGCCCGATAACTCGTTGATTCGATCGTGTTCGCGAGTGTGCTCGACACGCTCGGACAATTGTTTTTTATAATAATTATTCGCTCGAGTGGCGCGAATTATCGTTCGAATGACAGGCGTTCTCGACAGCGTCTCGTGGGGAAACAAGGACACGCGGATTGTTTCCACTCGGTTTTTTTACGATATTCGCACGGACCTGGAGAACGAACATCCACGAAATCAACTGTTGCGACAGCAAATTCTTTAACAAATAACTTCGATACAATGTTTACGGTTCAATTGTAAAATTCTGTCGCGTAACGCGTTGAATCATTCTCGCTCAAATCTTTTGGATTTTTTACTGGAACACTTTTAAACAGTCCTGTATCGCACCCTCTGCGATCAGAATATTAAATGTTCAGGGACCTTGATCCGAAAATCGAGTTCAGTATTTTCAGTATATAGTTTTACTTGCAGAGAACCATTTCTTTTACGAGTTAAACAAATTTCCATGAAACGCGTCAATGCCAATTAAAATTTTTCATAATAAAGTAGACAATGTCATTCAACGCGTTACTCCGATACAATGTCTCTGTCACAATGGTGCATTACAATAAACAATTGTAAAGAATTAGAAAATGAACAGCATTCTAGATAAATTGTAACCACCGATTTCGAGGATATCGTTCGAAGTTCTAATTCCACGTAACACCCACGAGATAATCATGTTACTAAGACTCTGCGTTTTTTAATATCAGCGAGACTTCGGCCCGTACCACGGTCGAACAAAAAGTGTTTTCAATAAACTGTTACATTACCTGAAGCTTCGCCATTTTCTTCGCATCCTTCCTACCTGAAGATGAACTGCTGGGCTCTCTTTCGATATCGATAGTCATCGTTTCAGACGACGTAACGAAAAACAAAATTTTCATCGAGACTGACGGTTTCGCGTTAAAATGAGAATCATGACTTTACGCCGAAATAAAAAGAAACGTTCGTCGAGGACGTTAAATGTTCGACAGAGCGTCAAACGGAAGTCTCTCCCATCGATCGCAGAAAACCGGTGAGATCGTTAAAAGGATATCGGTGAATACGTGTTGATTCATTGGTTTAAGGTTATACAATTATTTCTGTAGAACAAGATCAAAGGCGCGAAAAGTGTCTTCGGAGGCGAATTTAAACGAACCCCCAATGTCCAGACAATCGTCGAATAGCAGTGTTATTTATTTAGGGTCCTATCGAAGGATTCCTGAATTAATTATTCTAGAGGATACCTGCGACAGCTATACCGCGGAAACAAAATCCCCGAAAGTCGAGAAGATTAATGCAATGCAAAACTTAAAACATTGATTTTATTCGTGAGTACAAAAGAGACAGGCACTCAAAATTAACTAATATAAATCTGATATTAAATATAATCCTGTCCTTTGATCTTGCAAGGCAAATACATAGAAGTTAAAAATTTCCTCGAGAACGAAGACACGTTCTCAATCTCCGCCTTCCCCTTTCGCATAATTTCAAGTTCTTTAAAAAAGCGAGGCGTCATGTAGGGTCGACTTTCGATGGCAGTCAATTTCGATAAATCGAATTCGGTTAAAGGAATGGTGTTCACCCCTAAAGGCTGCAATTCTGATGGATGGATACCTAACCAGCGCACGTTCGGACATACCAGACTCTCGTTTTCCTTGGATAAGGTTGATGAACCAAAACTGAAAGAAAAACGTGAAATCTTGTGACTTATTCATTAAATTCCACCTCCTTTTTTTATGTAAAAGATATGGTTATTTTGTATACTCCTTGATGGCTATACCATATAATTAGGAAATTTTTTATTCATGGAAATATATAATTATTAACGCAACCTCGTTATCTCATCGATCGACGAATATATTTTCTGTGTATTTTCGATACATATTTGCGAGGTTCAGTTTTATTGAGACAACAAATTTCTGGCATAAATTCATGCAGAATGATAAATACGATGGCCTGATATAACTCACTGCTGACACTGATTTGTGGCTTTTTACGTCACCACCATTCATCCTATTCGTATCAACCGCAACACGTACTAATTACACCGTGGAAATTGCCAATTCCGCGACGTATATTGCACAATGCTCTATATAAACTAAACTTTAATCCTTCGAACGATACGCGAATAATCGTCGAAATATTTTTACCGATACATATTGGTTTTATTCTCGAACGAATTGCGGTTTCTAAACTTTCAGAGATTATCAAGAAATTTCTTTCGATAACGAAAGATTGAAAATGACGTTAACGACTGATATGTTGGTTATAAATATTGACAGTAAAGGACTATAAATAATTTGCTTTACCGGTAAACACACATTATGTCGACACCGAAAGGGTCAGCGTCGACGACCACATAAACCGGAAGCCCCAACTTCTCGGCTAACAGTTTAACCAGCATCCTAGTGGCTACATCCGGATATCCTTTTCCCGTTACCAGAATACAGTTCAACGAGGACATACAATCATCTTCCAACAGCTTCTGAAAGACAGCATCCTTCTCAACGATCAGCACCATTTTCGCCGTGGTGCGAACCGATGTTACGTTTGAGTTGATGCACGGAATGAGAGCACCACCTGGTACGGAGCAATCGATGCTTCGATTATCGATTAGTGTGAGCGTCAAGTCACCTGCCGCTAATCCTTTCGACGTTGCTAAAATATCTGGATAATTGACACGTTTGTCACATTAAACGATTTTCCGAATTTCTGATTATTTAGAAAATGAGAGATTCGTCCAAGAGGAGACACTTACTGAGTTCCCAAGGTGCACAATTTAGCAAATTAGCGACACAGTTCACGGCTCTGTCCACGTATCCCTGTCCTAGCACCAAATTCGACGTCTCCTCGTTCTTCAAATCGTAGTAAAGGGATCTCCTCGTAGCGGTGGTGTTGGTAATTAGCAAACGATGAGCCGTGGCCATTACCGTCATCATCAAGGCAAATTTGTCTTTACCCCTACTTGCTGCAAAGTTCGCCACCACTTTCCTGTCAACCCGTTCCTCGTCACTTTCCTCTCCATCGGGAGTACGTGACGCGAAATTTGATGAATCGTTTTGCGAGTACGTCTGCGAGTCTGTTTTGTTGGAATTTTTTAGTACCGAGCAGGAAATGCTTGGTAATTGGTTGGAACATATCTGTTGGATTATGGACGATGTTACACTTTCGATACGAGCTATTATTCGTGCCCTAAAATTTATACAAAATTAGCTATTCGCTTTACGAACAATACATTCACTTTATACCACGTTGTTTTCGTAAATAATTTATTGTTGATATAATATTGACCTCGTGTCTGCGCTGTCCATTACAGGTATATCGATTTTAATCTCCTGTGTCCGTTCGTACTGCTCCCCATCCATTTTTATTAATAATTATTGGGATTTCTTGTGAAATAAACAATTATAGTATAATAATTTATTGAAAATTAATTAATTTGATAAGCTAAGAGTATTTAGACAGCTCCAATCGCACGTACTTTTCAAACTGGACGTTTTCGCGGGAAAAATAGTGGCGCCATCTCTCCGGCGAACGGGGTGAACTACACTCATCTGGAGCACCGCCTTCGCTAGTTCCGCCATTAGCCAGAAGGCGGCGCCACTCACCGCTATCGCAGCGCCGCCTAGTGCATGATGGCCGAACTAACGAAGGAGGTGCTCCAGATGAGTGTAGTTCACCCCGTTCGCCGGAGAGATGGCGCCACCAGAAAAAAATTTTTTTAACCCGCCACAATATAAACTTATTACAAAATTTACGTAAATGCGACTTCCTGTATATTGTCGACTTATATAATTAATAACTTTTCAACAAATTATTGTACATATAATAAATTTTATGTTAACGGTACTACCGATAGTACAGGCTGTAGTAAGGGAACTATATACATACTGATATTTTTATACTTACTGGCTTTTTGGTGGTATTAATATATTTAGAATACCCTGGAACTAATTAGTATTGCTTTCCGAAGTAATTTGATGCATAATATCGCTAAATAAGGCCAAAAAATGAATTTTAATTAGGGCCGCTCGGAAAAAGGAACTAGTGGCGCCATCTCTCCGGCGAACGGGGTGAACTACAGCCATCTGAGGCACCTCCTTCGTTAGTTCGGCCATCATGCACTAGGCGGCGCTGCGGTACCGGTGAGTGGCGCCTCCTACTGGCTAATGGCGGAACTAGCGAAGGCGGTGCTCCAGATGAGTGTAGTTCACCCCGTTCGCCGGAGAGATGGCGCCACTAGTACTATTTTTTTACCGGCCCTAATAAAAATTGATTTTCTAAGCTTAATTAATGCTATTATGCATAAAATGACATCGCAGAGCTTTATTAATTAACTTAAGAATATTCCAAAGGTATTAATATCTCTGGAAAGTCAGTAAATGCAAAAATTGTGCTATGTTTATAGTTCCCTTAGTTCCTGCAGCCTATATTAAAGGGTGTATGTGGCGCCGTCTAGCGGTAAAAAGCTGGAACTAATGAAGGAGCTGCTCCAGATGAGTGTAGTTCACCCCGTTCGCCGGAGAGATGGCGCCACTATATTTTCCCGCGAAAACGTCGAGTTTAAAAAGTACGTGCGATTGAAGCTGTCTAAATACTTTCATCGCACTTAATTAATCACTTCGCAATTAACTATTGCTTTTCATATAATTTTTAAACTCCAGATCCTCACGGTAAAGCATATGAATGATTTTGATAAATCTTAAAACGAAGCTTATCATTCAATCGTCGTATTAACCACCGTTTACGAAACGTGAATGAAACCTGCACATATATAAAGGAATCATCGAGTGTAATATCGATAAAAAAAAACAAATGAAAAGGTGGATAGGGATCCAAGAGCGACTTTAGAGCTTAAAAGGCAACGAGTCCAGATAAAAATCTCTGAACGTAACATTCTCACAGCAATAAACATATTAAGCTACACGGTAACCGTAGAAATATTGATCGTGGTGCTGTTGAATTCGGCGTTGGACGGTCGACAATGATTTTCCCGGTGGTGGAACGATGTTCGTATCGAGTAGCGAATCTCGAGTGAGCCGGACACCCCGCTGCGCATTTGTGAGCGGCTAGCATTGAACGCCGCGCTACCGAGCGCACTAAAAGACACTTCAGGACCTCATTGTATAGCACAAAACACTGGCCGAGGTTGCAAAACGTTCGATTGTAACGAAATTCGTCGGAGAGTCCGGTAGGGTAGCGCCAATCAACATGCTACTTACGTAAACAGATTTTTTCGAGGGGGTGCCGAATTTTTTTTCGGGAATTTGGGATCGAAATTTGAGACGGTTACGTTTTTACTTTATTCGTATCTTACAATACGGAGCCTTTCAAAGTCTACGATTCAAAGCTTGCAGTCTAAAACCCAATATTTAAGGTCCCATAAGTCCAGAATCCAGTGTCCAATATCATATGTCCAATGACAAAATTTTAATCTCTAATAGTTGTAAAGTGTCAGAACCCCTTAATCCGAGATTCCTGGAATTCCATAATGTAGACGATTCGCGTAGTCTTAAAGTTCCAAAATCGTGAAGTCTAGAGATCCCAAAATTATACGGTCATGTGTAGTTTGCATTCTTAAACGTACGATTGCGCAGATGCGACATAAATTTCCTAACGTCCATTCGAAAAACCGGGCATTCGTATGGACAATGAATACTAACGAGCGACCAGGGATGTTCGCGACGCGTGCCAAAACATTTTAGGGTGCTCGAAACCATTCCTCTGCAACGACTCCTCCCCCCATAGTCGCTATGACTACGAAATTTATGGGTCTTTCGCGTGATATCGCAAAAAATGATATTCATTACCCCTCTATGTTGGCACACGCTCTTATATCTATTAAAAAATTGATACACAAACTTTTAGCGTCTCGAAACAAGCACAGATTGTCGTACGTTTCGCGAACGAGATGCTCGAAAGAAAAGAAAGTGGCGCATGCTATACCGTAGAAGACGGTAGTGCGATACAACGATTGAAAATTTTGATAAATTGACAGATGGTAAGAGTACTCGCATTCCTGTCGACTGTTAATTTATCAGAGCCGCGCAGTAGAAGAAATAAAGTTCGGTTACTTTTGTTTGCAACGATCGCATCGATCTGATCTATATAACTTGCTCATTTATCAAGCAGTGAATAACGAGTTAAGGATTGCATACACATTGCGGTGGCTCGAGGCGACTCGGTTTCGATCGTCCTCGAATCGCGTGCTTATCCGCGCGAGCGAGCACACGCAAAAATCCCTAAGGGCCGCGATCGGGTCCTTTAACGAGCATAAAGGGATCATTCACGACAAAATAATAGAAGAAGGACGCTCGGTTTCGCGTTAAAGACACTCCAAAGACTATATTCCTTTGCAAGGGGATAGTGTTACATTGTGCAACGAGTGCGTTCGAGAAACAACCCTGAGAATGCGCTCTTCAACCCTCAAATAGCCCGTATACGTCCTCCTCAAAATATCGGTTATAATCGTGGCTGCGAAATCGTGAAAAGAAGAAACATTTAAATCCCAGGAAATTCCACGAATTCCATGCTCGACGTGGAAGGAACGCGTGAATTTCCTTCTTTTCTCCGCTTCCGGTGGCCAGAGGGATTCGTAACTGGATCCAGCTATTTTGCTTAAAAATCGAATAATCGAGGCTCACGGAATACAACCCTATGGAAATGTCGACGGTTAATCCTCGGTAAATCGAAAGCTTCGCCTTCCGATCGCATTCAAACGTCCTCGCATGATCGAACCACGAGAATGTCGAGGTACCTGTTCGATTCACGACGATCCGTCAAATCCGTCGAAAACGTTCCTGTTGCACACGTGTGCACGATCGTGGACAATCGTGGCAGAACCGAGGGAATATCTTACCTTATCTACCGACGAACGAATAAAAGTCTAACTTGCTGTTGACGAATAAATTTGAAGCCGCTCCAGAGATACATTACCTGCTACAAGTTTTGCATCTTCTCCTTTCAAGGCCGTCCATTTTTCCGACTATTACTTTAATAAAATAGCTGATCTTAGATTTGTCCTCCGCCGAGGGACTTCATCGCGAAAATTAAAAATATCAATTATTATTCTTACAAGATTTATTAAATGCTACTTTTATATTTCATATCTATCTCGATGTACAATCTAATCGACCGGAAGTGCCGTCGAACGAGTACTGTCGAATTAAACATGTAAAAAAAACAAGTAAAAGATGTTAGCGAACGATTATTAGGTCGATGATGAATTTTTTGCGGAAAACTGTAAGACGGGAACGCGTTACGACGTTCGCTTCAGATTCGAATCTCCGCCGTTGCGTTTACGCACGGTTTCTCGTGCCCGTTAAAGCGAAAAACAGATAACATCGAATTTGTCTAAACAGTAGGGGTTACAGTCAAAGACGCAGAGGTTGCATAATGCATCTCGGATAAAGAAACGCAAATTTTTGTCGTCGAACTTTCCTCGATGACGCATATAATTTAATGCTACATAAATTTGCAATCGACCTTCCATTTCTTATAACGGTTTTTCACAAAACATTCCAAAAACACAGGACTCCTTTTCCATTCGTGTTTTCCTTTTCGTCGTGTACGGGGATTCCGTATCCACATTTACGTGTGTCTTCTCGGTAACGACTGGTCATCCTGTGAATCACAAACAAGGAATTAGTACGGTGCATAATTTCGATAACGCCTACTTCAAAATTATTGACGTTTCAACGCGACGATGACGTCTCGACAATTTGGGAAGTTCGACATTTAAAATGACAGATTTTCCCAAGCTCACGATTCTCGTCGAGCATGCACTCAGCGTGAACGTAGCGGTCGCTACAATAACGTTGGCTCGATCCCCTCAAAAATTCAGTTCAAGTGACCCAGATAAGTGCACTCGGGGAATTTCGTCGAACAACCGCATACTGCCGAGAAAATTAGGGAATCGTGTACTCGAGCAAGTCGGGAAGTCGAGTTCTATGGCATTGACTGCTACCAATCGAAAACTTGTCATTTTTCATCGCTTTATTTCGTAATAATCAACGATGATTTCAATCGCTCAGCCGCGAATTCGAAAGAGTAGCGTAAAAGCCGAGATAATCTTTCTCAACAACTTAATGAAGCAACAACGAAGCAATCGCGTCCCTCCGCGTTCGCACCCGATAAACGCCGCGAACGATTCGCGAGTACTTTCTGTCATAATCACTTAACGAGCAGTCTGCGGTATCCTTTAAGCCGAGGAATCCTTAATAACAGAGCAAACTCTCGGGCCAAGACCTCTGTCTGGTTCGAGCCAGCTATCCGTGTGCGCGTTAAGTATTTTCTCAAGGATTCTGCGGAAAAGGGAAAAGAGGAAGAAACGACAAGGACGGCAGCGGAGAATCGAAGAAATCCG